GGTGGGGTCCCAGGAGGGGGCAATCAGGGGACAAGGAGCAGCGGCACTTAGATAGGGGGTGGTGTCCTGGGGGGCAGTTAGGGGCAGGGGTGATCAGGGGACAGGGAGCAGTGGGGGTTGGATGGGTTGGGGTTTCTGTGGGGGGCAGTTGGAGGGAATGGATGGTGGCAGGGTGGGGCTACCCTCCCTCCCTGTGGAGTGTCCTATTTTTTGAATGTTAAAATATGGTATCCCTACTCACAGCGCGGCTCTCCATTCACTGCAGGCTGCAGCATGAGGTCTCAGCTACCTCACTCCCTCCCCCTCTTTCCTGTTGGTAGTGGCCAAGGGAATGCTGGGAAATGTAGTTCTTTCCCTGCTCCAGGGCTGGCTCTATAAGCAGGGAGCTAACCAAGGAACTACAGCTCCCAGGGCCCCCTGTTGGTTCTCAGCTCCCATGCTGGATCCCTGCCGCCCCTGCAAATGGGCTGCCCCAAGCACGTGCTTGCTTTGCTGGTGCCTAGAGCCGCCCCTGCCAATATGCCATGCTCCCCTGCAATTTCCTTTGGTCTCTCTCACTGTGTGGGTATGAATAGGCTGCAATCAGAGGTGTGATTGCAGAATATGTGGACATACCAGAGCTAGTTTTAGTCTAGCTAGCTTGGGTACCAATAGTAGTGACACTGCAGCAGCATGGATTTCAGCATGGACTAGCTTCTGAGTAAGTACCCAGGGACTTGGGCAGGCTTGTATAGCCCACATTGCAGCCCATATTGCTGTTGGTACCCAAACTTGCAAGACTAAAGATAGCATGGGTGTGTTTACTCATGCTGCAATCACACACCTCAATTGCATACTCTGTATCTGCACCCACATGCTAAAAATCCAGTCTGTTCACACGTCAGGTTCCTTGTCTCCAGCCACACTGTATTCATGTTTCAGCTTCCTTGGTTGCCACTCATTAAAATTCGTGTTTGATTATTGAGGGTTCCATTGTCTACCCATATGCAGGCAGACTTTGATAGTGCATCCACACATCAGCCTCCTGCTGGCTGTGCAGGACTCTGCAGAGTCCTGCCTCAGTTT